TCAACTTACTACTAAACTTGACCGGTTGCATCCGGACAGACTGCCTTCATCTACCTCACATCCTAGGGCAACTAGACAACTACTTGTGGGTGCCCCGGTTTGGGCTCGCAATTACGGGCCTGGTCATACCTGGGTCCCCGCTTCTATTTCCAGGGTCACAGGTACTCTCTCCTACGAGGTTGCCCTGGACAACGGTCGTGTCCTGCGTCGGCACATCGACCAACTCCGCCCTAGGCGGGACTTTTCAGATGAGACTCCTGGTTCTTTTCCAGGGGGGGAGGGGGACCCTTTGGAGCAAAGGGAAGGGCACGAGCTGCTGCCCATCTCCACTGATGGAGCCACAAACGGCCCATCCCAGTGTTCCGCGAGAGCTCCGAACAAGAATTCTATGAGCCTACCTAACTACCAGGCATCCACGCCTACTCCAGCCAGGGAGTCACCCCGGGGGCATACTCACTTTCCACACACATCACACAGCACTCCAGTCACGGAGGATACCCGGGTGCATCCCAACAAATCATTCCCCGCAAGAGAGCTGGCACACAATTCCCAAGGTTGGCCTGACCTTACCCCAAATCCTACAGGGGGTCAAACATACAGAGAGGTGGTCGAGGAACCAAGTCCCGACTACAACACCTCTAGCCCAAATCAGGGAGTAACTGAGTTTTGGGAAAGTACAGAAACCCACACAAGCCCGGACACAGAACGGGGTTCAGGGAATGGACAGCCTCCTGACAGGTCTTGGATGGACCTAGGAGGTTCAACAGAGACGCCCAGCAGTGGCTATCACTTCAAGGGGCCCGAGCGTCTACAGCTAGGCAGGTCAACCAGGTCACAAAGTGACAGAAGCCCTGGCCTGATGAGCCCGGTGGGCGAGCAAGCAGGCCAGGCAGTGGGGCACAGTCCTTGGAAGGCACCAAGGCAAAATAAGGAGAACAGGCTTACATCTCCCTCCAGTCAGGGAACTCATGCTAGTAACCCAGAGCTGAGAAGGTCACAGAGAGCAAAGAAGTCTCCTAAATACTTAGAGGATTACATAACATTGCTGGCTAAACAAAAGCCAGGTAACGATAGGAGCACTGAGAAGCAGAACACTGCATAAAATAAATGATTATATGTTGGTAGTAGTTTTAGCCCGGGGGAAAGGGGTGTTATGTCCCGAGCCTTGCAAACGGCTCGGGCATTTGCAGGCAGTCCTGGGCAGGTGCAAAGCTGCCCGGGACCAGACAGGCTGTCGCCAGCGCCGTGCGCATGCGCGGGTGCTGGCGCGGGAAAAGTATCGCATTTACCCGGGAAATGTCTATATAAGAAGCTGGGAGGTTTTGGGAGCTGCAGAAGCCATCTACTTGTAAGCTGAACGCAGAATAAAGAAAACTGAGAACTTCAACTGCTTCTCGTGTCTGCTTTCCGCCAAGGACTCAACAAATATTTTCCTGTATCAGATGCAGTTTTTTTAAAATCAATCCAAAGAAAAGGTAACCACCTCTTTACATTTAGCCCTCACCCCTTCCTTGAATGTTATTTCTATACAATCAAATGTTTGTAATATCCCCTGCTGTCAAGAGAAATAGACTTTAAGAAACATGTACAAGTAGTCCTCAACTTACAACCGCAATTGAGCCCAAAATTTCTGTTAAGTGTCACATTTGTTAAATGAGTTTTGCCCAATTTTATGATCTTTCCTGCCATAGTTCTTAAGTGACTCACTGCAGTTGATAAATTTGTAACCTGGTTGTTAAATGAATGTGGCTTCCCCATTGACTTTGCTAGTCAGGTCGCAAAAGGTGATCCCATGACCTTGGGGCACATCGATGGTTGTGTGAAACCAGTTGCCAAACATCAGAATTTTGATCACATGATCATGGGGAGGCTGCCAAGGTCCTAACAGTCGTTAAGTCCCTTTATTTCAGTACTGTTGTAATTCTGGATGGTCACTAAATGAACTGTTGTAAGTGGAGGACTGCTTGTATTCCTCTTCCCCTTGCCTCAGAGACATCATTCCATTACCTCGAGAGGGCTTAAGATTCTGCCTCATCTACACAAATAAGGACTTTAGGCAGGCATCATCAGGAAGTATTCTTTTGGGTATGCAACTTTATTAACATACAGTTGATAAAACTTTATAGCAGGGGTGTCAAACTCAATTTCATTGAGGGCCGCATCAGCATTGCAGTTGCCCTTGGGGGGCCGGGTGGGTGTGACCAGGGTGGTGCGGCCTACTGGGTAGGTGTGGATGGAGTGGGTGTGGCCTACTGGGTGGGCATGGCCAGCTCTACATCGTTCGCGTCAAGGGTGCCTGTAGGGGCCTGGGCAGGAGTGGGACAGATCTGAGGGTCTCTGGCAGAAGAGGGTGGGACCGGGGCGAGCGCCAAGGAATGGTCCATTTCTTCATTCCTCACAAAGGGTGACACTTCCCCAGCATGCACCCAGGGGGTGGGGCTGATGCAGCAGGGGCTGGTTCCTTGCTGTTTCCAGACGGCCTTGTGGAGCTAAGACTGAGTGTGTTTCAGCATAGAGGGCCACCACAAAATTGTACATTGGCTCCCGGCCGGCCTGGGCCAGGGCCAAGGCAGCGGGGGCCGTTCCCTCACTGTTTCCAGGATGGCTTCACGGGCCGCATGAAACCACTTCGTGGGCCGCATTTGGCCCCCGGGCCTTGTGTTTGACATGTCTGCTTTATAGGATTGAGAACGAATTCCAGTCTGAACTGAGGCCGCTACCCATATTCTTGGAGGAACACAAAAATTACTGGATCCAGCCCCTGTACAAGGGAAGGAACGTTTTGTTCAAAGTTATCAAATGATTTTCATGCCAGCCTTACTAACGTCTCATGTTATGCCAGCCTCAGTCTAGACCAGACACGAAACACACCCACATGAACTAACTGCACTTTACTGTAAGATTACATTAACAAAATCTTGCAAGTCTGAAAATGCTTTTCTCTCTCTTCTTCTCCCCCCCCCAATCCCATTTCCAGAGCAAACCTATTGCCTATTGCCTCACCTAAGCTGCCTTTTATCTGACCGTGGTTGTGTCTCTTCATCCTGTCTCCCAAAGTCATTCCCTCCTTATACAGTAGGAGGTAGATAATTTTTTTTCCAGAGATTACACTTAATTGTTTTGATTAACAAGGCCAGAGAACATTTTAACTAGAAACATCTGGTTGGTGAGACCAAGTTCAAGTTTTTTTTTCTTAATGGGAGAAAGCAGAATATACATAAAAATTGTGTTAAAGAGTTTTCTATAGGATTGCTCCTCCTAATATCAGCAAAGATCACCATTCTACAACCACGACAAAGGAGGCTACAAAATGGGCCTGGATGGTCAGTTTGGCCTACAGCAGTGGTTCTCAACCTGTGGTCTGTGGATCCCAGGGGTTCCGCCATCACAGGGGCTCCACAAAGGCTTGAAAAAATGTTATCTAAATCCTGAGTTAAATCTTGGGGGTCCGTGGCCACAAAGGGTATTTAAAGGGGGTCCGTGGTAAAGAAAAGGTTGAGAACCAATGGCCTCTCTAGGATGTCCATTCCTACAAGAATCAATCCCGGTTGATTGTCACATGCAACCTGAATGTAAACATTTTCATCTGAACTGCAACAACTTCCTTCTCATTACAGGACACAATTTGGTATACAGATAGTCCTCAACGTACAACCACAATTGAGCCCAAACTTTCCACTGCTAAGCAAGGGAATTGTTAAGTGAGTCATGCCCCATTTTATGACCTTTTCGCCATGGTTGTTAACCGAATTACTACTGTGTTAAGTGAATCAGGCAGTTGTTAAGTAAATCTGGCTTCCTCATTGACCTTGCGTGTCATAAATTCTTAGGAAGGTTATAAATGTCAATTCCAAGACCCTGAGACACTGCAACCATTGTACATACAGGCCAGTTGCCACGCACCTGAACTTAGATTATGTGACTGTGAGGCTGCTACAACAATCGTTAAGTGTGAAAATGCCATTGTATTTTTGAATGGCCATTAATCAAATGGTTGTAAATTCAGGATTATCCATATTCTGAAAGACAGAGTTTCATGTTATCTTAAAAATTAAGCAAGACTTTTTAATTAATCTGGTATTCTATATCAGGAAATGTTTAATATTTTTATATGTCTTTATTAATACTTTAAATATTTTTTTAAGTTGAGTTTGTGTTTATCGTAATCTGAATGCACATCATTTAACTTAATCTGATATCAATATGAAAAGCTTCTTTTAATACCCAGAAGAGCCATTTGTATTCCTGCTTTACACAGCACAGAAAACAGGAATTGTATGACATATTAAAAACAGTAATGATTTATTTTTTTTTAATTTTTAAAACAGTGACGTAAAAAGATACCATGTGAATTATCAATCAGTACTTAAAACTATATGTTTGGGTTCGTCTACTGAGACCATCATTCCAGTTTATGAATATACTTTATTATAATAAGCTGTCATTACATTTAGGAATTGGCTCGTCGTTCTCTGTTGAATGGCATTTTCTGTTCTTCTTGCCAATGTCTATAAGGAGAACCGGGAAAAAATTTTTTCCTTCAAAGAATATAAATCAATCTGCAATTATTCCTTGAAAACTGAAATTACTTTATTTAATTATAATATCATTAGTATTGTCTTCTTAGTGATATCAAGCACATTAGTAACAACACACAATCCAAAATTAATGCTATAGAATGACAACATTAGGGGATATACGCCCCAATCCAAGATTCCATGTACTTTTGGTTACACAGATGTATTATTTGTGGCCAAGAATGTTCCTGTTACTTTAATTCATGGATTTTCTTCAGTATTTAAATTTCTCTTTTTTAAATAAAATATCCCCAAACATAGGCAAGTTATGCCCCAAATAGCTCTGGAGTTAAATGTTTTAGTGATTAGTGCAGATTGCTGGTTGAGGATAATGTCAAGATGGTATAAAGCTCCTGTCAGTTAAGGAACGTACTGTTTCTGATAACTTGTTATTACTTTGTGACAAGAACTACAACATGATTAATTTCCTTGCAATAAAGTTCATTCTTACCTAATTAGTTTTGTATTTTAAACTGCATCATTTTGTCTTTAAAAGCTGGAACTCAGGTGTGTCAATTCCTCAAACTTTACTTCAGAACTTCAAAAAAAGGAACAACATTGCTAAATGACTCTAAGACAGACATGATATCACATTATTTATACTATCATAATTTAATGTATATAAATTTGTTTTTTAATATAAAACATTTTTTAAAATGCAATGGTACTTCATTTTAGAGACAAAATTTAAAAGACGCCTTTTATTGTTAATGATGTAACATTTGTGCTCAGGTTAAAGGGCATTATTAAACTGAGCATAATTTATTAATACATACATACACACATTTTATAAAATTACTGGTATGAAAACAACCTCAATAATAGATATAAGTCATGATTAAAGGACTTTTCATCTTCCATATTTATTTGCTTTGTGATCAATAGCAACTACAGACTGCCTGTAGCTCATCTAACTGAAAATGAATAACCTTGAAAAAGAGATAACAATAACAAACCACACTATTACCTCCAATTCAAATGTTTAGTCTTAATTTTCAGGGCAAACCTATTAGAATTATTAAAAACCAACCCAGCCTATGTATGACAGCAGAATGTTGCAAAGTTTGATTACACACTAAGTGCTCCCACACAATTTCTTGTTGTTTCAATAATCCTAGTATTAATGATTTAACATTTTAGAGGTAGAATTCAAGTCAACGCTGACAGTGAGTCCAAACATGGAAACATCGCATTATTGTTCTGCTTTTAAAGTAACTGATTAATCCTTGAAGCCCACATTTCTAAGAAGAAAGAAAATGGAATGATTATATTGAAAACATGCCCATTAAGAATGAATAATTTTAGAATATTGTGTTTTTTTAGAATGTACAGTAGTGGCCAAAATTGTGGAAATCTTTTGGGAAAAGTGTACAGTAGAAATGCCACCTTTGGTTAAGTTTCCACCAATTTTTTTTTTCTAATTTCTTTATAACTGTAGCCTTGTTCACTTAATAATACTATTTTACATCGCTTTCTGGGCAACCAGTCAACTCTTTGCACCATTACTTTAATTTTATTACGTTTTACAAGCTCGCTAAATGAAAGAACACAAAAATACCCAACCAACTTGATACTGATGACATAACACACTGACAAACGTCCTCCTCTCAGCTTCAATACATGACATCAATAACTGAATCCTACTGTGATCTGATTGGCTCATTGCCAAAACAAGGTGACACCTGATTGGCTCTCTAAACATTCACGCTCATTGGCTACAATCAGATGAAAGAAAGCTACCCGAGATCAACCTAAGCAAGTTGTGCTTCCTTTTTCTGGTTATTTGGCTATAACTTTTCATAGACTACAGTACAGATAATTGAACAAACGTTATTGCATTACATTCTTGATTAAATTATTTTTCCATTGATATATAATTGTATGGTACTACTCCCCCCCCAAAAATGGTGTTATTAGCCATCGAACCTCAAAAATACACTTTTCCCAAAAAGTTTCCACAATTTTGGCCACCACTGTATACTTTGTGCCTCAAGTTAGATCATATCATAACTAGACCTATCTTCAAAATCCAATACTCACATAATTTTAATTACACAAAGCACCCAACAATAGGTATTACTTATCTACCTGCCCTCATCTCTCCCACATTAAAGAAGGTAAAGATAACACTCAGAGCTAACTTTCTAAAAGTACTTTGTCTCTGGGAGAAATCCAAAATACAGATCCAATCTCATGTTTTAATTTTGAAATATTATGCCAATTAATCGTATGCCCCAAAAGTAAACAAACACCTAGCGGCTTAATTACTTACTTTTCTGTCCGTTCTGTTGTTACTGAAAATGCTCTCTCTGGAGAATGCGATGGAGATCTCAAAGTTGAGCTAAGTGGCGATGAGGTAGGTAAAGAAGTGGTAGAAAACCCGAGTCGTCGCATCTCTTGGATGGCACGTTCCCTATTAAGTAGAAAATTACAACTGAACTCTGGTTGCCCTTCCAAATATTTTCTCACACGGAAAACAAGAATGGCCACCCTTTTCCCACACAGCAAACTGGAATCCTTTAAAAAAATATTCTCTTCTTTACTAGCTGCGAGAAAGTGTTTTGTTTTTCTTAACGTTCAATCAGAATTTGCTTTCCAGGAACTTTAGATAATACAGGTAGTCCTTGACTTAAAACCATTCTTTCAACCACCAGGAGAGGTTACAATAGCCCTGAAAAACGTGACCGTTGACCCATTTTTCTCACTTGTGACCGCTGCAGCACCCCCATGGTCTTGTGATCAAAATTTGGATGGTTCACATTTGTAACGGTTGCTGTGTCCGGGGGGTGTGTGTCTCGTGATGACCTTTTGCGACCTTCTGGCAAGCAAAGTCAATGGGGAAGTTAGATTCACTTAACAACCGCGCTACTAACTTAACAACTGCAGTGATTCACTTAACGACTGTGTCAAGAAAGGTCGTAAAATGAGACAAAATTCACTTAACCACTGTCTTTGCTTAGCAGTGGAAATTTTGGATTTAATTGTGGTCGTACGTTTTAGGCGGTACAAAAATTAGTTGAAGAGAGCTTAGTAAGGATAGGTCTGACTTCAAAAGTGATTTTTTTTTTTTTCCTGGCTAGGACAATAGGATTGGTATAAAGGTGTTGTAAGCTGAAAACTGGTTAAACTTTAGGTTTCCTATATTCATTGCTGGGCTGTAGCGTGTGCATAGTCTTGTGCATAAATGCTACCTCTGTCTTTCTCCTTCCTAGTGACCCTGAAAAATATCAAATGAAAGGAGGAGGAAACAACAAAGAAGGGATCCTCAGCAGATAGCAGTAAAAGTGCCCTCCTACCAGCCCGTTAATCAGCTACTTGTTGGTTTCCTGATGCTGTTTGCACTGGCAAACTATCTGCTTAGTGGGAGGAAGCCTTGTTCAATCTAAGCAATGTATGATTGACCCCAGCTTTGTTCCCACTTTAAGAGGTTTTTTTTTTTTGAAAAAAAGTATCAATTTCCACCGATGCTTAACTGAAAGGACTTGTGGTACTTACTGATAGACATTTTGAAAATGTATTTTACTGCAGTTAGTTTATTTTAAATAGTAATATTCAATATAATGGATTTTGAACATGCCCCTTGTTTGCTTTGTAAGTTGTAAATCATAATCGTATGGAAAGAAGGGTAAGAAATAGATTGTATAACTAAGAAACCATACCGAAAATTAATTATTAAACCAGTTTTAGCATTTTCGGTGCAACACTATAAAGCCTGCTTTTATAGTTTCCTCCTTAAATGGGATTCAGAATAGTTGCCTTTTTAATAAAGCTAATTCACATACCGTTCAAATTGCTCTGTTGTCAGCTGTCTTTTCACAATATCATAATCAGTCTGCAGCTGTGCAAGTTTATTTCGCAGTATAGAAACTTCTCTGCTGAGACTTGTTCTAAAAATATTGCAAAACAAAGAGAAAAATATCTACTACACATTCACAGATGTCATTGTACAAGAACTTTTAAAATAGCTGCAAACAAATAAACGGAGACCTAGAAATTAAGAAAAAATACCCACACTTGTGCATACACATGCAAAAAGGTCTTAAAGAAACCTCCAATTTATCACAAAACAGTCTACTTAAAATATGTATATTTGGAAATGCATTCGCCTGAAACTTAAAGCAATGCATGCATTTGACACATTGCTGACAGAATTTCTTCTGTATTGCAAGTGGCTATAATGAACAATATACCTTATTTTCCGGCATATAAGGCAACCCGGCGTATAAGACGACCCCCGACTTCAGCGCTGAGTTTCATGCCTAGAAAGACGTCTTATACGCCGGAAACTACCATTATTTCTAGCGTATAAGACGACTCGGTGTATAAGACGACCCCTGACTTCGGCGCCAATTTCAACGCTTTCAAAAGTCGTCTTATATGCTGGAAAGTACGGTACTTGCATATGAATAGGCAATACTACATGCATTTGTAGTGACGATCGTAATAAAAACAGTGTTTTTTGAACCTGGCAACTTTACGTTTTATGGGCCTCAACTCCCAGAATTCCCAAGTCCTCCTGACTAAGGAATTCTGGGAGTTCAAGTCCACACATCTTCAAGCTGCTAAGTTTCAAAAGCACTGATCTAAATTGTTTTTCACCGCTGAAGAACACAGATTGCACATGTTGCTTTTAGCATATTCTGCTTTATATCTTATACTTTGCATAGCAAAGTGTACCGTGCAAGGTAAGAAAATAACCGTACTTTCGTGAAAGAAATTAAAGATGAGTAATTTCTAGGAGCATTGCTCCTAGAAGCACGAAGCCGAAAACACCAGCCTAAAGATGATGAATGCTCCTAGAAGCACGAAGCCGAAAACACCAGCCTGAAGATGACGAATGCTCCTAGAAGCACGAAGCCGAAAACACCATCCTGAAGATGATGAATGCTCCTAGAAGCACGAAGCTGAAAACACCATCCTGAAGATGACGAATGGGACTTTGTCGAAACGTCGCCAAGACACTTCCAATTTGACGCGGGAGAAAACCCGAATAACCAAAGACCTACATACAAACACCTGCGAAAACCTCAGAAAACACACACACACACACACACACACACATATATATTCAAAAATGGAGACACTAAATTACAAACAGCTGAAAGAAAATATTATGAAACTGGTCATTTTATACTTTTCAACATACAATTTACTTTCTGAGAGAGTTAATTTGTCTTTGAGCAATTGTATCTCTGAATCCTTTTCATGGGTTATTAAATGATTCTGAAAATCGTTGTCTCTGCTGGTAGCCAAGAGTGTTTCCAAGTTTTGTATTGTAAGCCGCTCACTTGACAATTGCTTTTTTAATAGCTCTGCTTCTGCCTTTGCATCTTCATATTCAGACACAATCTAGAACATAAAAAAGAATTTCTTTAGTAAAAAACCTCACAGTAAGTAAACCCATAGTTCCTGTCCACCTCTCCATTAAACCCTTCTTTACTCCACATCCTTCTCATCTCTCCCAGGGAGGCTTTTCAAGCCACAGTCACTGCAAGACGAATTTTTAATCTTAGAATATATATCTATTTTACTGTCAACATTTTACCTTAAATAAAAAAAATGATTTATATCCTGTAAGAATAACATTTTTCTCTTTTACCCTCTCAAACTCCATAGATTTGGATGTTAATTGGCGTGAGACTAGATCTTTGCTAGATTCCAGTTTGACACATAGATCTCTAACGGCAGATACATCCTGATTTATTGAAGATTTTTCTTCTTTTTCACGTCTGAGCATTTCTTCCAGCTTGGCCATATTTTTTGCCATTGAAGAGATTTGAGATTCGTAAGTTTGATGTGCAATGATGTGCTGCATGAAAGACAAAAGTAACTCTTTTTAGAAGCCTGGATGAGGTGCTCCTATTACATTTTCCTCTTTGCACTGAGTTATTGGGAAACAAACAAAATAATATATCAACTTGAAGTATTTTTCTGTTTCAAAATACATTTACAACCATTTGCAAGACTTAACAAGTACTGGGCAAGAGCAGGCATAAATCTAAAATTAGTTATCCCCCTGAGAACATACAGATGATTAATGCCATCTGCTCCTTGTACAAATTTTCAATTAATCTCCAGGTATTTGATTAAGAAAAGCACATTAAAATGGTCTGGGTAGCTATAATTTTATAATTACCTCTTGGATTTCTTTTTCCAGTAATTCTACTCTTTCTTTAAGGTGTCTTCGTTCAGTATCAACTGAAAGGAGCTCTAATCGTACTGAGCTGTTTTGTCCCTCAGCTTGATGGGCCTTTACTTCCCAATCTTCGGCTTGGCTATGAAGCATCTGGAACTTCTCCAATAATTCTTTATTTTCTCTTTCCTAATATTAAGAGAAAATGCATTCACTGAGCAATAAGTCACTGAAATGTCTCAGCTACTATTTGGCCTCTCTTCTGTTTAGAAATTGTCAACAACTTGTTCCACTGAAGAAACCTGAATATATGTTATTTTCCATATGAGCCAACCCAGTACTTCAAGATTAAATTATCATACTGTTGCAGTTAAGACTTTAAAAGATTTGAGGCAGATGTTACAGTAATTGATCATTACACATAAGAATGTAATACCTTAATTTGCCACACTGATTTTACAATAAATAATTTGGTTTTTTTGTTGTCTAGCTCAGGGGTAGGTAACCTTGGCTCTTTTATGACTCGTGGACTTCAACTCCCAGAATTCCTGAGCCAGCATGGCTGGCTCAGGAATTCTGAGAGTTGAAGTCCACGAGTCATAAAAGAGCCAAGGTTGCCTACCCCTGGTCCAGCTAGATGTATGTATAAAAAAGCAGCCTGGCAACCAAATGTGAGTTAGTCCGCTCTATTTGTCCCCCTGTGGTTGAAAGCTGGACCTTAAAAAAGCAAGACAGGAAGAAAATTGACTCATCTAAGCTGTGGTACTGGAGAAGGCTCCTGCATATTCCTTGGAGAGCAAAGGTGACTAACAAGCAAGTACTGGAGTACATAATGCTGGACATGTCACTGGGAGGCAAAATCACAAAACAGTGTTTCACTTATTTTGGCCCTGTCATTGGGGGAATTCACTGAGAAAGCAATTAAGTTTGAAAGGAAACAAAGAACATGGTGGCTGGACACCATCAAAGCTGACACCAGCCAGAGCACAGAACCGCTCAAAGAAATGCAAGATCGGAAGCTGTGGAGAAATTTGGCCATAGAATCACCAAGAGTCAGACACAACTGAATGGATAACACCATCATCATCTGTATGTATATACACTAGTTACATACTGGAATTTTTAAATACAACAAACCTAGACATCTATATATGCCTAGATATACCTACTTATATGTGTATATTAATGGCTCGATCACAATTGTGCCTCTGTGACAAAGTCCCAGCTTGTTTTAAATCCGATGATAATTCTTAATAATACCCTTCCTAATTTTCATAGAAATGGTGGAAGCTTGTGGCATGTGGCTTAAATATTATAAGGCTAAGAAAGGACATTCCCTCAATGTTACTCTTTTCTCGTAAAAGAATAGATTGAAGAATTTTTCCTTGCGTGCTTAATTTTTGAATTTTGAAGAATTTTTCCTTGAGTAAAATGTATCGTTTTTCCTTGCGTAAAATGTATGAATTTTGAAGAATTTTTCCTTGCGTAAAATGTATCTTATTTAAATTTTATAAAATTTAGCTTATTTATAAAATTTAAATAAGATACATTTTATTTTTGAATTTATACAATAGTTGAAGGCTAGAAGCTGGGAGGCCATGAATTCTAGTCCTGCCTTGGACACGAAGCGGTGGGTGAGTTTGGACCAGTCACTCTAAATCACGTGAAGTATTAATACCACTTTACAATGCCTTGGTAAGGCCACACTTGGAATACTGCATCCAGTTTTGGTCACCACGATGTAAAAAAGATGTTGAGACTCTAGAAAGAGTACAGAGAAGAGAAACAAAGATGATTAGGAGACTGGAGGCTAAAACATATAAGGAACAGTTGGTGGAACTGGATATGTCTAGTTTAGTGAAGAGAAGGACGAGGGGAATCATGATAGCAGTGTTCCAATATCTCAGGGGCTGTCACAAAGAGGGAGTCAAGCTATTCTCCAAAGCGCCTGAGGGCAGGACAAGAAGCAACAGATGGAAACTAACCAAGGAGAGAAGTAACCTAGAACTAAGGAGAAACTTCCTGACAGTTAGAACAATTAACCAGTGGAACAACCTGCCTCCAGAAGCGGTGAATGCTTCAACACTGGAAGTTTTTAAGAAAAAACTGGACAGCCATTTGTCCGAAATGGTATAGGGTTACCTGCCTGAGCAGGGGGTTGGACTTGATGGCCTCCAAGGTCCCTTCCAACTTTTATTATTATTATTATTATTATGGATCATCGCACAATCAGCCAGATGTTCAGACTGGATTTGGCATTTTGTCTACCTATTGAGTCCTTACCCAGGATCTGGGATAGGCAGATGTGGATGTTTGATGGTATTACAGATATCGTTGCAGGATGGAAGCAGTTCCTAGTAAGGCCGCCTTTTGCAATTGACTAATAGCAAATTTGTCAATGCCAATGGTGTTCAAGTGGTATTATTATTATTATTATTATTATTATTATCTCCTCTCGGCCATAGGAAGAAAGCAACGGTAAACCACTTCCAAATATGTCGCCAAGGAAACTGTATGGACTTTTCCATGTGGTGGCTTGAGTTGTGTAGTGACCAATAGTGACTTGAAAGCCCCAAACCAAAATTGATTTATTAAAAAGATAATCTTCTTATATAAATAAAAATGTAAATGTTCTTTTGTTCAAAATCTTAAATCTACGAAAGTTCTTCACCGATTGCTTTGAAATTTTGATACAATGTTGCATTCGAATATGTGCGTGTTTTTATATACCTATATTATATAGATGTCACACCTGTGACAGGTAAAAACATGATTTTTTGAAAACATGTAAAAACATGCTTTTTTGGAAAAACAGCGCCATCTGTTGAACGTAATCTGTATATCTGCACACACAATGGAACAACAAAAAATATTGTATACTCACAAGCATTGTGAAATTAAACATATTACAAATGTGAGCTTTCTCTTTTCTTTCTTGAGCCACAGCAACGCGTGGCTGGGTACAGCTAGTATTTTAATAATATTTCTCACCTTTAAGGATATTAAACTTTCAAATCTGGACACTTCAGTAATGTAATTATGAACTCTAACTTTCAGTTCTTCTTTTTCACGTAACGTTACTTCCAATTCAGTCGAGATCACCTGTTTAAATTACATACTGTTAGACATATTATTCACAAAGTAAATAAGCCACACGCTGGCCAAGCAGTACACTTAAATATGATCTATTCCATATCAAAATTGAACCAACAGAGAGGCAGCTCATAACAGCATTTCTCTTGGTTATTAATTATGCAAATTAAAAGAACAAAAAAAAATCAGCATTCAGTCTTGTGACTTCCAATCTATGGGTAAGTAATTTTCCTTATGGAAAATTTGGGACAATGCCTATTTTGGCATTGATACTTGGCATTGGCAGTGCTCATATTGGTATTAATACTATAACTTTAAAAAAGTTAACTGATACCTAATTAAACATTTTAAGTGATATAATTATTCAACGTTTATACCAGTCAACATTAAACTAGAACAGTTACCACACTAGAAAAAAACACATAAATTGAATATACATTCAAGCAGGCCGTTACAGAACTTTTTCTGGAAAAATTGTGAAATATATAGCCATGAGGGATTTATCTTTATCAGTAAATACAGAGAAGAATAACTATGAGTCTCTGATGTTTTAACCATGATAGGAGAAAACATTGTCATTCAGAATAACAGTTGAAAGCATTGAAAAAAAAAATAACTGGGAAGGAGAACAGTCTGAGATAGTCTAGCTATCACAGTTAGCTAAACTAGAAATACATGTTCAAGTTGGAATGCTAGAAAAAGAGTGGTCAGAAGTGAAAGGCAAGGAAGGAAAAGAATTCACTACAGCAGGGGTCCCCAACCCTGCCCACTTTATGACTTGTGGATTCCAACTCCCAGAATTCCTCAGCCAGCCATGTGTACGATATGAATTACTTTGTACCTGGTTTTCTCTAGTCATTGTGGCTAGATCATCCTGTAATCTTCTGTTTTCCTTCAAAGCCATTTCTTTTATTCTGGCAGTTTCCCCAAGCTCTGAGTGTATTCCATCAAACTGGCGGTGGAGACTGGCAAGTTCACGGTCTTTCCCATTTAAGGTATCCTTTAATTGGCTAATAAATGAGGGATTTAGAAAATCTTAAAACATAATTTATCTTTTTTGCAATACTGTAAGTACACTATGGTCACCATTTAAAAATTATAGCAATTAATTAAAACATGCTTTTGTACTGAATAGTCCCAAAGATATTTTACGTGTTACCAAGTACAGAGCTATTTTTGTAACTGAACATGTATCCGTCATGTTTCTGTAGAACAGGGGTAGTCAACCTTGTCTCTTTTATGACTCGTGGACTTCAACTCCCAGAATTCCTGAGCCAGCTTAGCTGGCTCAGGAATTCTGGGAGTTGAAGTCCACGAGTCATAAAAGAGCCAAGGTTGACTACCCCTGCTGTGGAACAACTAAATCACCAAGCATTTGGGAAATTATACCTGAATTTTTTGCACTATGGCACAAATGGCAGCATTGGTGGAAGACAGATATGATGCTAAGTTTTAATTAGCTTTAATCTAGTTTGTAGAATAAGCTAAATCTGGTTCATAGCCAAGAAAACCATAGCATACTTCCCTATTAAAATTAGCTATTGTTGTTTCTAGCTACTCTACTCTTGACTGTGAAGCACTTTCTAAACTGCAGAGTAGCAAAGTATATTCCTTGCAGCCAAACAGTAGTATAAGGGGCAAGTAGCAAGAGAAATTTTGAGACTTTTTTTGACAAGAGGAAAATTAACATTCTCAAATATGCCTCCCATGCCTTGCATTCTTTTTAAAACTTTTAAGGAAAAAGTCCTTTCTGCTATATATGTTCTTTCAGTAAACAAATTTTCCTTATTAATTAAAATTTTATTAGGAAACAACCAGCAAATCAGATGTTAAAATACTGCAAATGCTGAAGAGATAAAGTGAGATGAATTGTAGCAAAAAAAAAAGCCCCACCGCTTAACACAGTGGTTCTCAACCTGTGGGTCGGGACCCCATTTGGGATCGAACGACCATTTCACGGGGGTCGCCAAACAACGCAGTCTGCCATTTTTCCCCCTTTTCCTTAGCTGTGCTACTCCCTTTTATTCTATTGGCTTTTGAAAGCCAATAGAATAGACTCTCTTGAATAGAGTCTAATTCTATTGGCTTTCAAAAGCCAATAGGAATTGTCCAGGCTGTCTCTGCCCTGCTGAGCCCGCCAAAAGTCCCAGTCTGCAAACGGTGCTGCACCAGGTGAGTAGTCCTCGACTTACGGCCGGTTGAATAGTCTTCGATTACAACCAGTTGGGGGTCACGGCATTAAAAAGATTGAGAACCACTGGCTTAACAGGATAGTTTTAGCTGACTAGGCTTTTAACTAAAACTAGCAAACACATTTGGTGAGGTTTACTACAGCTTGCTAGGATCAGATGTGTATTTAATGTCTTTTTTTTTTAATGGAAAGTAAAGGAATTTACTTTTTCTTCAAGGCTGCTTTGTATTCACATCTTTGTAGTCAGAGGATAGATAGAACAACGAAATACATTGTTGAGTAAAGGAAGATACAAAATTTAGACATATTAATAATTCATTTAACCCAAATTAAAATAACAAACCAGCCATTCCAGGTTTTCTACCTCAAACTAATGAACATAATTTGTAAGTAACTTGGTTTCATAAATAAACCAGAGTTATAATAAATAACGGCTCACCATTATGGGATAAAGCAATTACAGAGCACATTGTACATAAATGTAAGTCTGTATATAACTTACTGAGCTTATTGTATATAAAAATAAACAGAGGGCTGGGGCACAGTACTCTTTGTTCTTCCCCTCATCATCATCATCATCATCATTATCATCACCACCACCATCATTTTATCCACTGCAGGATGAACGCCTCTTCCACATGTTTCCAACCAATACGATCCCAAGCTTTCTTTTGCCAATTGGGCAAGCCATACTTGGCTGAGGTCGTCAATCCATCTTGTTCTAGGTCTTTTTCGTGGACGCTTTTTATCAAGTGGGATCCATTCTATGACTGCCTTGGTTCACCTGCCATCAGTTCTTCTTTCTATATGACCATTTCCATTCTTTTACTCTCTTGATGGCATCGTATGCTTTCGTTTGTTCTCTAATCTATGTGCGAGTCTTTCTATCTTGTCTTGTGATGCTGAGCGTGTATCTTTTTAGATTCTTTGCGCCACTCTTAGCTTTTGTATCAACTGTGTGGTTAGTGTCCATGTTTCACTGGCATATGCTAGAGCAGGTAGCACACACTGATCGAAAACTTTTCAAGCATAGGAGGAAATTATGCTTAGTTTGCCGAATGCCTGCCAACCACATTTAACACACCGTTCAATTTCTTTTATTGTATCATCTTCCACTGAGATCCATTGGCCAAGATATATGTAGTTGTCGACTACATCTAGTTCTTCTCCAGATATATATCTCTCTATATATATATCTCTATATTTGTTTTCTGTTATCTCTCTATATATCTCTATCTCTATCTCTCTCTCTCTCTCTCTCTCTCTCTCTCTCTATCTATCTATCTATGTAGGTCTTTGGTTATTTGGGTTTTCTCCCGTGTAAAATTGGATTTTACGCGGAAGAAAACCCGAATAACCAAAGACCTACATACAAACACCCGCGAAAACCTCAGAAAAGAAAAGAAAGAAGATTTCTTTCTCCCATATTTGGGCTGACAGGGTGTTCATTCAAGGTATATATATATATATATATTTGTTTTCTGAGGTTTTCGCGGGTATTTGTATATAGGTCTTTGGTTGTTCGGGTTTTCTCCCGCATAAAATTGGAAGTGTCTTGGCAACGTTTCGACGAAGTCACATTCGTCATCTTCAGGCTGGTGTTTTTAGCTTCTTGCTTTGAGCAGCAATGTGTGGTTTTAGCTGTTTCTTCCTTTTAACTGCCAGTGAGGGTATGAAATGATTGGATGGGAGCTTGGCTGTGTTCTGATTGGGTGGAGGTGTGTTCTGAATGGTTAGGGGCTTGGCTGTGCTCTGATTGGCTGGGGGAGTGTTCTGTTTGGTTGTGCTCAGGTTAGTCTGAGTTGCAGAGGGGTTTAAGATTTTGGGGTTAGGGAGTCGTTTGTCAATAAGGGCAGGTTTCCAAATGGCTGGTAGGCGGGAGGTATCATCTCGCTTGTTCATGCTGTGTGGGCGTTTTTCTATCTCGATGGCTTCTCTGATTATTCTGTTATTAAAATGTTCACTTTTGGCAATGGTTCTGGTATTTTTAAAGTCAATTTCATGTCCTGTGGCTTTAAGGTGTTGGACCAGGGAAGATGTTGGTTCCTCTTTTTTGACTGAGTTCTTATGTTCTTCAATGCGTGCACTTATTCTTCTGTTGGTTTGTCCGATGTATGTGGTGGGACAAGTGGTGCATGGGATTTCGTATACTCCTTGATTTTCTAATTCAATTTTATCTTTGGGGTTTCTAAGGATGGTGGATATTTTTCTGTTTGTGCAGAATGCTGTTTTGATGTTGTGTTTATGGAGGATCTTACTGATTCTGTCTGTGGTGCCTTTTATGTATGGGAGGAGGGCTTTGCCGTTTTCTTGTTCTTTGTCTTGGATTTTAGTGGGGGTTTCTTTTTGGATTAGGTTTGTAATCTTATTTCTATGGAATCCATTGGATGTTAGTACATTGGTGAGAGTGTGTAGTTCGGGTTTTAGGTGTTGTTCGTCAGCTAAGCGTTTTGTTCTGGAGATGAGTGTCTTGGCTACAGAGTTGATCTGTGCTGGGTGGTGGTGTGAGAGAGCGTGCAGATAGCGGTTTGTGTGTGTTTTCTTCTGGTAGATGGTGTGTCCTAGGGAGCCATTGGATTTCTTGTAGACTAAGACATCCAGGAAGGGAAGTTGGTTGTTAGCTTCTGTTTCCATGGTGAACTGTATTTTGGGGTGTAGGCTGCAGAACACTCCCCCAGACAATCAGAGCACAGCCAAGCCCCTAACCATTCAGAACACACCTCCACCCAATCAGAACACAGCCAAGCTCCCATCCAATCAGTTCATACCCTCACTGGCAGTTAAAAGGAAGAAACAGCTAAAACCACACATTGCTGCTCAAAGCAAGAAGCTAAAAACACCAGCCTGAAGATGACGAATGTGACTTCGTCGAAACGTTGCCAAGACACTTCCAATTTTACGCGGGAGAAAACCCGAACAACCAAAGACCTATATACAAATACCCGCGAAAACCTCAGAAAACAAATATCGAACCTCTACGGGGAGGAAATCCACCATCTGACCAGGACCTATGAAAAACTTGAAGTCCAAAGAGCTTCCATTTTATGTGACCTCGCATTCCTACGTAACTGCCGAGATCAAAATCTAATCCCCACATGTTTCCAACTGAAATTCCACTCCAACTCTGCAGCCACCAAACGGATCCTGAAAAGAACAGAATTGGCCCTAATCAGAAATGAACTTCACACAAAAAGATTCCTCCTAGACCGAATTAACAAAGATCTCCTCACACTCCACCTCAAACTCAGCAACAAGATCCACCCCGCACTTTGGGACAAATCCAAACAACTCGCCGTCTGGAGAGCCGAAACACAGACCACCCTCAAGACAGATACACACACCAACAAACTCCGAAGACTACAAGAACGCCAGAAACAAACCCCTCCTCCCTCACAGCCACACATGAAACAAACAGTGCATAACATCTCAGATAGGATCCTCACCAAAGCCGAAACCAATGTCCTTTCCAAAGGATTCAACTTTGCAGTCGCTCCCAAACACATCCCCACTGAAACCATTATATGTGGAGTTGAAACCAGCCTGACCAAAATCAACCCCGATGACGCTAACAAAATCAGACTCAAAATCACCAACATCCTCTGCACCAGCAAGCCACCCAAAAGCAACTTACCCAAAGAGGAACAGACAGCACTACGTAACCTGAAAGAAGACACCAGCATAATAATCCTACCAGCAGACAAGGGCAACGCCACGGTGGTTATGAACACATCTGACTACCAAACCAAATTAACCAACCTACTCCAAGACTCCACATACAAACCCCTAAATACAGATCCCACCACCTACCTGGAAAAAACC